CCCCCCCCCCCCTGCCCTCCCCCTCCCCTCCTCACCGGGGAAAGAATCACGGTGCTCCGCGGGACTCGAGCCGATGAAGTCCTCCGCGTAGCAGGGGTTCTCCTTCTCGCAGAAACAGCATCGCCACCGACCGGTCCCGGGGTCCACCCGGCAGAAGGGGCTAGGGTAGGCCGAGCAGAAGGTGCAGAGCACCGGCTGCCTCGGGATGCGGGCGGGCGACGGCTGCAGCTCGGCGAAGGGGGCGAATAGCGCGCCCGTGGGCAGGCCCAGGCTCCCGGCGGCCGTGTCTCCTCCCTTTTGCGAGTGTATGCGTGATTTTTCAGGGGAGGGGAGGGTGGCGGGGGGTAGTGCATGCCTTGTGAGAGGTTAGACTACTGACCATTCGTCCTCGAGAGGATGGAGCACTTTTCCCCACAGGACCGATCACCGATGCTGGCCAATCACTCCTTGCCGAAGGTGGCCCAACAACCTTACCCTTATCCTATCCATCCTATGGATTATTAATTCCCGCCTTCAGCCCACTCGTTACACCCCAGTTAGCTTCTGGCGGGGGGGGGCGCGATGGAGGGGAGGGAGTTGTAATGCCTGCTATTCCTTTGACACCATTCTTGTGGCATGGCGGCTCATGGGAGGTACAAAGCGCCCTCTCTTGGCGTGAAAAACGCGTTTGCATGTCGGCAGCGAGGGCCCTTGACATCTAAGGTGGGGCGAATGAGGTGGATGTTGTAGGGGGGGAGATAGAAAGGGCACGCCCTTCGGGGTTGTGCGGAGAGGGCGGATGATGGATTTGGCTCTGGAATACTCCATACTGTATGGTACGTACATAGTTGAAGCGCGTGAGGGGGGTAGTTTATCTCGTTCCATAAACACCAAAACGCCAATTCCAGCGCGCGAGTATGCTCATTGCTGGACAGGAAACACGCGCAGAACGCAGATGTAGATACAGACCAGGCTACCTGCCGTGCGCATTATATATATCCCTCCGGGGATACTGCTTGTGCAATAGTCTAAATATTTCGTCAACGCTGCTGTCGTGCGGCGGAACCGGGTGCCAGGGCACCGACTTTGCGACTTGCGTTCGCGTCTAGGCGGCCACATCTACCACTGAAAAAGCGATACAACGTCTGCACCAGCAGCAGCCAGTCTATGGTAGTTACTGCTGGACACATTCCTAAACCAAAGGAGTGGGTCGTAAGCACTCTCTGGTCTGTTCCTGCAAAAAAAAGGTGTCCGCCTGTGTGTGTGTGTACCTTGCCCTCTTGCAAATCTCCGCAGAATCACGGACTGATGTTCAGAGCAGCAGTGAGCAAAACGACAGCTAGCAACTAGAGAGCGGCAGGGACTCGCTACAGAAGGCAATAGTTCGAGGGAAACGTTCGTTCGATACCACTACCAAGCACGCCTTGCCGGTGAAAGCTCTGTCCCACCCACAGGGACAGAACAACACTCAGCAAGAGCGCGATCGTGGAACGGTAGACATGACCACAGCATCACACGAAATGCTCCGACAGCTCACCTCCAGGAGGGAGTAGGACGAGAACCTCAGTGGAGGCGGAGGAGGTGACGACGTCATCTCTGCTCGTCGTCGCCTCGCAGTTACCCAAACCCACGTACACGCTCTCAACTGCACGCGTAGCAGGAGACCCAAGAAGTGAAGTGCAACCGTAACCTGTTGACCATTCCATAGGGGAGCTCGCACACAAGAACCGAGCAGGTATCAACCGCAAACAAAGGGATACCTAAAAAAAGAGTATTCTGCGGAGCTCCCTCTGGCATCGGACAGGCATGGACTGGGCACAGGGCACTGGGCACCAGCTGGAGCTGCCATTGCAACACTTGAGAGGGGGTCCCGACACCTCCAATACGGGCACGAGGCTATCAAGAGGATCAAGTCGTGCCTAGCCTAGCTGGCGTCTTGAAGATACGCAGCAGTGCCGCGTTGAAAATTGGTTTGGCGTGGTGGCTACAAAATCAACATTTTGCCGCTGCTGCTGCTGCTGCTGCACGCCCTAATCAGCTCCCGTCAGACGAGGATATCCAAAAGGCCACAGCGGGAACCTTGAGGGGCAAAGGTGTGGAGGGTTTCCTCGTAGCGTGCTGTCTTGGTGGCCATGGCGGGCGAGGGCGAGGGCGGGGGTGCCGATGGAGACGAACGTCGTGACAACATCAGGACCCAGCAGGTGTGAAATTGCGGGAAAACATCGATTTTCACCTAACAAACCTACAGGGGTCCGCTAGCACGCTGATATGCCACACGGGAGCGAGCAACAATCACCCTCATTTCCCCTCATCCGTGGCACGCTCTCGAGAGAAGTAACATCGGTCTTCTTTAGGTCCGATCAACAGCCGTATTCCGCACTGCTGTTGGGGCGTGTAAAAAAAACATGGACGTGGCCCGGTTGCTTTGCGAATACCACGCCGGAGTGGCCAAGAGCGCCGATCAACGGCCATGTACCTTGTGCAGCCTGCAGCTGGGGCAACGAGAAGAGCTCCAATCCGCGGGCCAGTCGGTCACACGGAAATTTTCTCCGGACCGGTGCATGATTGCGTGTATTTACCCCTACCACGTGAAAATGGTCATAGCCTGATGTTGCTACATTGGTACAACACGGGTGTGCGCTCCCTCGGGGAGGCTGCACTTGGACACCCAACCGCATGCATTCATACCCCAACACACCCGTCAACGACAAAGTACTCATCCTCAACAAGGTACCGACCCCGGCAAGCGTCAGCGCTACGTCAGAAAAAGAGCGTCGGGACGGTGACACACGAAAACCCCTCTCAACAAGACAACCGTTCAACTTTGTTGACCAATAGAAACGAGCATCGGAAAAGCACGAAGGCCCGCGCACCATTACTCACCGAAACATGCCAAATCCTTCCTCATATGCAATGCCCAGAAAATACCAACGTGAAAATTACTGTAACAGCTCCCTTGCTGTAACTTTTCCCGAAACGGTCAACTCTGTGCCCCCATTCTCTCACTGGTACATGTGATACCTCCGGAATGGGCTCATGAGATATCGTGTTAGAGGCGCCACAGACCTAAGCGGTGGTTGAGTACAGGTACTAAAAGTTATCCCAGGAACGGCCGATGAAGAATGGAGAACATGTATGATTGCATGAACAGAGCGTGTGCTCAAGTTCTGCGTGCATGCGCTCTTCCGGGCGGCCCGCTCTTGGACCCCCAAGCGCATACATACCCCTCACACACGCGAATGCCCCCAGTATGGGACGCTAAGTACCACGAACATCCCCCGCAGAGACGAGGATGCTATCCATTCTTGGTTGTGTTTATCGGTAGCTGATATCGACGATGTTGATGATGATGTCGCAGGTCTGCGCTCGCGGCGGCCGCGGCGGTCGCGGCGGCGCCGGAGACGTGCTACCGGGAATCGGACAGCAGCCAGCGGAACCGCAACACGCCGCGGAGGTGACTACCTCAACCATGGCCGAACTTTTGCGGGTCGCTGAGGCGTCAAACGCTCGGGAGGCTAGAGGCGCCGTTGACGGCAGCGCTGGTGTAACGGGCGGCGAAGCTCCTTCGGCGGCGAACGGCCTTCCGTCTGCTGCTGCTGCTGCTGCTGCTGCTGCTGCTGCTGCTGCTGCTGGTGAAGCGAAAGCCCACCGTTCGTTTCGGGCGTCGTTGTCGTCGTCGTCGGTGATCTCCTACGGGTCGGCCTCCTCCCGTGTCCTAGGGTCGTCGTTCTCCGCTTCTTCGTCGTCCTTGCTGCCGTCGTCGTCGTCGAGCGGCAGCTCTTCCTCCTCCTCCTCCCCCTTCCGCTCGCCTCCGGCTTCTCCGTCTTCCCTCGCGCGGCTAGCGGTTGCCGAGAGCAAAGAAGAGCGCGGCTGCATCGAGGAGAAGGTTTTGGACCCCAGGAACACCAACGGGAAGGGAAGCTGCAAGGGTGATGAAAGCAAGGACCAACAACAACAGCAGCAGGGGCAGCATTTGCCATGCGCGTCGCTGGAGGCGCCGCCGCTTTCAGGCCCTGCGGAGGATTCTCCCGCCGCAGCAGATGCAGAAGCGCCGCTCGAAACGGACGGAGAAGCTGGAGCAAGATCCGCGGCCGGACCCGTCGGGCGTACGGCGCCTGAAACCGTCGCCGTCGGTTCAGCGGTGGCGGCGGCCGCAGCAGGAGCGGGCGACGTCGGCGTCTTGGAGAGATCCACAGCGGCGGTGGCGGCCGCGGTCATCGGAGGAGAGGCAACCGACGGTGAACGCGCGCGTGCAGCAGCAGCAGCAGCAGCAGCAGCGGCAGCCGCTATCAGCGGAGCCGTTAACGCGGGCGCGTCAGAGGAGACGGCGACGGTGGCGGTGGGGGCGATCAGGCCCACGACCCCGGTAATGGCGTTGCCGTCAGCGTCGACGTCGGCGTCGTCGTCGTCGGTTGCGGCGCATTCGTCAGCAGTGACGGCGGCGGAGGAAGTAGCCGTGCCGGTAGCGGAGGAAGCGGCAGCGGCGCCGTCTGGGTCGGCGAGAGGAGAGGAGACCAACGGCGGCGGAAGAAGAGAAGGAGGAGGAGGAGGGGAAGCCGGGGCGGAAGCTGCCGTGGAACCCCCACAAGCTCTCGCAAGCGGAGCCTATTCAGCGGCACGCCCCGAGCGAGCCGAGGCCGTCGAGGAGGAACGGGGACAAGGGGGGGAGGTCGCCGCTTTCAGTCCCACTCTGGACTCTTCGGAGACTGGGGCGAGGGAAGGCCGCGGCGGCACCGAGGGCAGCGTTTTTGCCCGGAGTGGCAGGGCGGCCAGCAGCGGGAGCACTGCGGCTGCTGCTGCCGCCGGCGGGTTTGGGGGCGTGAGTTGGCGAAACTCTTGGGTAGGCGGTGCGGATCGCGGCGCCGGTGAGTTTTTTTTTTTGTGTGTGTACCGTGGAGGCAATGAACGTGTCCTTTTGTGCACACAGGACTTGAAATGAAGTTTCTCCTGGGTGAACCGTGCGAAAGCAAGCCCCCCCACCCACCCTTTCTCACCCCTTTCTTCTGTTTCCGGCTTTGCATGTGTGGGTACATCCAAACACCTTCCGTGACACACGTGTTGTGCAACACACGATCAACACGTGCACATGTTTCCTTCCGGGGTGTTGATAATCGACAACAACAGTGCTACCCATGTATCGTTGTTCTTTGGTGGCCAGGAGCCGAGAGAACCCTTCGCACGCACGTTCCACTCAGCACTCTGCTCTTGAGACTAGAGCTGCTGCCTCGAGGCAACGTTGGCTTGTGTTGTCTTGAACCCTCAGAAACTGCCTCCCCCTCACCTGCGCGCAAGGGGAATGATCGCACCACGTTGTGTTAAACTGGTCAAGCACCCTCGAGGCAGTTACACAGCGGCTATAACTGTCTCTGCAAGTGAAAGCACCAGAAGTAAATCAAGTCATTCGCAGCTGTCATCCGTACGTGAGGAAGTAAGCACAAGATGCCGAACACCCTTAGCAGGATGCAGCGCGCCCTCACGTACGGATGACAGCTGCGAATGACTTGATTTACTTCTGGTGCTTTCACAGCTGTCATCCGAACGTGAGGAAGTAAGCACAAGATGCCGAACACCCTTAGCAGGATGCAGCGCGCCCTCCATGCGACTCGCCGTGTACCTGACGGCGCTTCGCGCTTAGGGATGTGAGAGCCTGGTCCGGTGAGAACCTGGCGTGCTCCGTCCCGGCTTTGTAGGGATGCGAGGTCAATGGTCTAACGACTACGGCATGCACGACTATGAGTACACACACCCCCTCCCCCCCGCCTTGCTCTTATTTTTCACCACCTCGAGACAGAGCTCTTCGTGATGCCGGGGAGTCNCCCCCCCCCCGCTCCCGCCCGCTCACTCAAATCCCTTGTATGCACACCTCTTTCTTTCCGCTGAATCCGGCAGCAGCAGGTCGTACGATGGGCTTTGGGCGCTCCGCTTCCTGGAGAGCGATGATGAACCCTCCGCTGTCGTGGGATACCGTCGCACTGCCGCCTAGCTCGGCCGACGCCATGCCTTCCGTTGCCGTCGCCTTCAACGGCGGAGGAGGAGACGGACGGTCGGGAGTCAGAGAAGCGCAAGCTTTCTCGGAGATGGGGGCCAGCGGCAGCGGCAGCGGCAGCGGCAGCGGCAGCGGCAGCGGCAGCGGAACCCGGAGATTCTTCACCCGGGACCGTGAATCGACGGGCAGCGGCGGCGGCGATGGGGGGTTTTCTCGCTGGGGAGTCGACCGGAGCCTTAGGCTGTCGGACGACGGGTCGATGTCATCGAGACCCCGGCTGGTCGGCGGGGCGGCGTTAGAAGAGGTCGAAGACGTCGAAGAAGACAACGTGTACGGCCAGGGAGGCGGCCGGGGGGCGGGGAGGAGTGTCTTGGAAGAGATTCCTCCCGGCGAGGCTTGTTTTGAGGTGGGTAGGGTGCGAGGGAGGGTAGGGTAGGGTAGGGTAGGGGGAGTTGGCGACGACTGTTTTTTTGGGGTCCCGGGGCGGGGCGTGTTGCGTCATGCGTTGCAGTGGGACCATCGTGTTGTCTGTGCCTTGCTTGTTGTAGTTTGAGTAGCTCGGCTTGCGTCGCATGTCGGCCCGTTTTGAGGTGAATTTTTGGAGCAGAGGTTCGGGAATTTGGTCGCGACGATAAGGCACAGTCTCTTGCGCTGTTTTTTTTGTCATCCTTTTG